GAAGTGTTTGCGCCAAAATTGGATGTATGCAGTGGACAGCATACTTTTATTGAGACACCTGAGATGGCTCGGTCATGTGAGCCGTATGGATTCGACGCGGATACCGAAACAACTATTATACGGTCAGCTGAGTATTGGGAAGCGGCACGTGGGGAAACCAAGTTTACGTTACCAGGACATGATTAAAGTGAGCCTCACACGTTCTAATCTTGATTGCAGATCATGAGAATCGAAGGCGGTTGATCGTGGTGCATGGCGCGATCTAATCACGAAGGCAGTTGCTGAAGTGCGGGAGAAATCCCTCATGCATGCAGAGAAGAAGCGGCAATTGCGGAAGCGGCAAGCACCGATGAATTGTACTCCATCGACATCGAGCGCATTGTGCTGTAGAACATGCGGTCGCGAGTGCCTTAGTCAGGCAGGCCTAGTGAGCCCTGAGAGAGGTCACTCGGGACCACTGCCGAAGCGACGACGGGTCCCGCAGTGAACGTAGGCAGCACCGGCGCAGCGTTTTGTAGGCACGCTGAATTCGATTTACTAACCGCATGCTTGCATGCCAAGTCTCTGTATTTCAGGTGGTGGGTTTTCGATTCTCTCTTAATTCCTTTCTTCCTCATATAAATGTCTAGTGGGCCATGAGCTAGGTCCTTTGGGGCCACTACAGAAGCGACGACGGGTCCTGCAGAGAATTACGACGAGCCGGCGCAGCGTTTGTAGGCACGCTGAATTCGATTTACTAACCGCGTGCTTGCATGCTAAGTCTCTTTATTTCAGGTGGTGGGTTTACAGTTTGTGCCTTACTGCTTTTCTTTCTCATATAAATATCTCCCTGTACTCTATTCCATTAACTTGCACACATCGCTTCAGCCAATTGTATTCGATTTCCATAACATTTTTGTGTTCGTGGCATACCGTGAACTATACTTCCTGACCTCGTGCACTTAGCTAGGATGTGTTTGTAAACAACTTATTACGTATGCTATTTAATTAAGGTTTATGTCACCGTTTCCTTATGCATTAATCGAGTATTTCTCTTTCTCTTTTTCTTTCTCTCTCTCAAGTGATTGGCTGTTGTTTGATATCCCCGGTGTGGCTGCGCTTGATGTGCATGTTGACAAGGTGCCTACCTGTCTATTACCCACTACGTCGTCCATACTGGCTCCAGGAGACAGTTGGTCGTTGCTGGAGGGGACGGGGTGCACGGTCCTTGTGGCCGTGTTAGGCTCGAAGAGTGGTTCCATGCACTCAGTGTGGAGCGGACTACGGTCCAGCCACCGCATTGTGTGCGCTTGATTCCCAAATACAGTGTGCTTGTGTTTGCCTGTGAAGGAGTGTGGGCCGGCTCCGTTGATGAAACGTGGCTCCCATCCGCATGCCTCCCGGTCTTATTCCTTCGGGTTTACACTGATATGGGGTGTGTGGTTGGAGCTGTGGGTGGTGCAGCGCAAGCCATCCCATGGTCCCTCTGTAGGCGCAGGCGTCCTGTGGCTTGCCACAGTGACAGGCAAATCCGAAACCGGATGCCGCCAACCATATATATATATATATATATATATATATATATATATATATATATATATGCTGAAGGTGATGTTGCAAACATCATGCATTTTCACCGCAGTTGGGATGCACCGACTAACAAGCAAACTAAATGGAAGGACGATAATGACAGCCCATAGAGTTTTGTTAAAGCCAATTTTGGGTGAAAGACGGAGGCACCTGCGATCCTGACCGTTGAACTGATACCCGTTTTTCTACAATTGCCGTACAAAGGAAAAATCGTGGCGGAGATTCTGTACCGCCATGTTTCGCACGCTCAGGGGTGCTTTCCAGGCGGCGAGGATACTAATCCAGTTCAGCTGTCCACCAATGGTGAGACCAAACCTCCAGCATAAGCTGTCTGTCCATATCAAATAGATGTGTACTTATATGCTTGACTTTTCCTTTGGAGTAGGGTACATTGGTCGCACAGTGTTTACCCCAAAGCGTGATGGAACACCATTCGGCTTGTCTCGAAAGTGGAGATTGAAAGGTGGTCAACTGTGCTATGGCCGCACATCTTGCGGAGATGGGTCAAGCCACCAAGTCGGCTGATTCATTCAAAATTAGCTATCAA